GGGGGAGAGGGACAGAGAGTTAGAAACATTGATGAGAGAGCTGCCTCCTGCACACCCCACACTGGGGATGTGCCCGCAACCAAGGTACATACCCTTCACCGGAATCGAACCTGGGACCCTTCAGTCCGCAGGCCGACGCTCTATCCACTGAGCCAAATTGGTTAGGGCTATTGACTATATTCTTTTTTTTTATTTGTTAAGCCTCAACTGAGTATATTTTATCCATTGATTTTTAGAGAGAGTGAAAGGGAGGGAGGGGAAGCAAGAAAGAGAGAAAAACATCAATGAGAGAGATCCATTAATTGGTTACCTCCCATACACACCCCAACCAGGGCCAGGATGAAACCAGGGCCGGGATGGAACCTGCAACCCAGGCACATGTCCTTGACCAGGAATCCAACCAAAGACCTTCAGGTTCTTGGGTTAATGCTATAACCACTGCGCCACATCAGCCAGGGCTTAACTATATTCTTTATGCTGTATTTTACATCCCCATTACCTCTTAATCCCATTTCAACTGCCCCTCAACCACTCCCCCCTATAGAAACCACTAATTTGTTTCCTGTATCTATGAATCTGTTTCTGTTTTGTTTTTTAGATTATTAATATAAGTGAAATCATCTGATATTTATCTTTATCTGCCTGATTTATTTCACTTAGTGTACTACCCTTCAGGTCCACACACTGACATATAAAATCTTACAAGTATCTTTGACTTAGCTTAGTTATCTGCATCATAAATTCTTATCAAATGTGATTTTGTTCAGTTATTAAAATCTGCCTCTTTTTGCTTTCACTGATTTAAAAAAATACACCTGCATGTTTTAGAAAGCTACCTTTTTGAACCCTGAAAAGTTCTCTTTAGAGCTCTGCAAATTAAAAAGGCTAGCAAATAGGACTATCCATTCTAACGTGATGTTACTTTCAATAATTTTCTATTGGATAACAGAGATTTAAAATTCTTTCAGGTTTTGAGCCATTTTCTCTATGGCTTACATCACTTACCTCTTACTCACTATAATTCTAAAGCTATGACATTGCTTCTTTTGTGATTAGCCATTTTATACAGCTAGAAAAATGCTGGAAAAGGTCTCCTTTCATTTCTTACATAAGTCATGTGCATGCACTACAAACTTCCCCTTTTGCTCTCAAAATATCTATGAAGTACCTTTTGTACACTGAAAAATCAGCCCAGCCGACGTGGCTTAGTGGTTGAGCATCTACCAGGAGGTCACGGTTGGATTCCTGGTCAGGGCACATGCCCGGGTTGCAGACTCGATCCCCAATAGGGGGCATGCAGAAGGCAACTGATCAATGTTGATCTCTCATCATTGATGTTTCTATCTCTCTCCCTTTGTCTCTGAAATCAATAAAAATATATTTAAAAAAAGAAAAAGAAAAATCGCGTGACAAGTTAAAATGAATACTCTCTCTATGTGCCTTTCCTGTAGTTTGAATGCTTAATTGGGACTATAAACCTAGTGGGAATAAATTCTATTTGATGTTAGCAAATTTTCAATATTTTAATTTTGCATTATAAACGAAAACATTAATTGTGAATATGATTAGATAGTTTTTAGAAACATCTATGACCATGTTTGTAAGCTTTGGTATTACAGTTTGGGATAATTTTTATTCACTGATACACTATTACATGTTATCAATAACAAAGAACTCTAGATTCTAATATTAGGTGCTATCCCATGAGGTCATCACACAAGTAAATATTACAATTTAATTTACAAATCTAAGGGGCCGTGTGAATGTGTATGTAGAATATGTAGTAATATGATGCTGATAACAAACCCCAGAAAAGTGAGTATGTAGTAGACGTATTTCCCTATCTTTGCATATTCTATTAGCTTAAGAAACTGACTATGCCCTGATTGGTGTGCGCAGTGGTTGGAGCATTTGGTCCATGCACAAAGAATCGAGGGTTCAATTCCTGATCGGGGCAGGTATCTAGGTTCCGGGACCCAACCTACACCCCATTTGGGTGTGTGCTGCAGGCACCAAGTTGATGTGTCTCACATTGATGAATGTCTCTCTCTCCACTCCCTCCCTTTCACTCTGTCTGAAAATCAATGGGGAAAAAAATCCTCATGTGAAGCTTCACAACAAAAAAACCCAAAACAAAAGCAAACAAACAAAAAACTGACCATGATTCACATGCTTTATACTGCTTTTCTTAGTTATGTCACATATTATTCATTATCATATGCAATTTCATTTTTAGACAATTTAGGTTAGTTTTATCAGTTTTTTTTTAAAAAAATCTTTATTGTTAAAAGTTTTACATATGTCCCCTTTTCATCACCATTTCTAGCACGCCCCCAAACCCTGCCCCAGGCCTTCACACTATTGTCTGGGCCCATGGGTTATGCACATATGTATACAAGTTCTTTGGTTGATCTCTTCCCACCCACCCACAGTCCCCCACCTTCACTTTGAGATTCGACAGTCTGTTCTGTGCTTGTCTCAGGATCTATTTTGTTCATTAGATTCCACATATGAGTGAGATCATGTGACACATGTCTTTCTCTGACTGGCTTATTTCACTTAGCATAATACTCTCCAGGTCCCTCCATATTGTCTCAAAGGGTAAGAGATCCTCCTTTTCTACTACTGCAGAGTATTCCATGGTGTAAATGTATCACAGCTTTTTTTTATCCACTCATCTATTAATGGGCACTTGGGCTGTTTCCAGATTATAGCTATTGTAAATAGCGCTGCTATGAACACAGGGGTGCAAACATTCTTTCTGATTGGTGTTTTGGGTTTCTTAGGATATATTCCTAGAAGTGGGATCACTGGGTCAACCAGCAATTTCATTTTTAATTTCTTTAGGGAACTCCATACTGTTTTCCTTAATGGCTGAACTAGTCTGCATTCCTACCAGCAGTGTACTAGAGTTCCCATTTCTCCACATCCTCACCAGCACTTGTCATTTGTTTATTTGTGGATGGTAGCCATTCTGACAAGTATTAAGTGATATTTCATTGTCATTTTAATTTGTATCTCTCTTATGATCAGTGACTTTGAGCATTTTTTTCATGTCTCCTGGCCATCTGTATGTCTACTTCAGAGAAATGTCTATTTAGGTCCTTTGCCCATTTTTTAAAATGGGATTGTTGTCTTCTTTTTGTAAGTTGTATGAGTTCCCCATATATTTTGGAGATTAACCCTTTATCAGATATATCAATGCCAAATATGTTCTCCCATACAGTGGGCTCTCTTTTCATTTTGTTGATGGTTTCTTTTGCTGAGCAGCTTTTTATTTTGATATATTCTCATTTGCTTATTTTCTTCTTAGTTTCCTTTGCCCTAGCAGATGTATCCATAAACATATTGCCATGAGAGATGCCTGAGATTTTGCTGCCTATGGTTTATTCTAGGATTTTTTATGGTTTCCTGACTTACATTAAAGCTTTTTATCCATTTTGAGTTTATTCTTGTGCATGATATAAGTTGGTGGTCTAGTTTCATTTTTTTTTTTTGCATGTATCTGTCCAATTTTCCCAACACCATTTATTGAAGAGAGTGTCTTGGCTCCATTATATGTTCTTGCCTCCTTTCTCAAATATTAATTGAGCATAATGACTTGGGTCAATTTCTGGGTTCTCTGTTCTGTTCCATTGATCTCTATGCCTGTTCTCGTGCCAGTACCAGGCTGTTTTAATTATAGTGGCTTTGTAGTGTAACTTGATATCTGATATTGTGATCCCTCCAACTTTGTTCTTTCTCAAGACTGCTGCAGCTATTCGGGGTTGTTTTTGATTCCATATAAACTTTT